GTATGTTTATTCAACAAACTTTTATTTAATATCTGATAAAATTTCAAGAACTAATGTACAGTAATTTTAACCAGCTAGTATCTATTTTTTATTTAATTTATTCAATATTGTTTAAAAGATTTGAATATTTCAAATAAACTTAAATATATGTTTAAAAATACTACTTCTAAGGGCAAAGTGGTAAAATTTGCATCTACTTCTTTTTTATAAAATAAAAAATGTATACTGGTCCAGAAAATTTTTTTTTAGAATTCTTTCAAAATGTTAACAATGTTGAGATTTTGGTCAGATTGAAAAAGCTTTTGTTTGAGATTATGTTTTGACATGTTTGGATGCTTGTTGTTTAACTGTTTTGTGCATATACAAGTTGTCACATTTACTAACAAAGTAAAAGTAAAAAAAAGTATAAGTAAAGCAGTTAGATTTGATATCATTGTTCGGACAGTAAATACTTGTTGTTTTATGCATTCACAAGTAGTTATTTTGACGCAGGAAAGTTGGTAGAAAAAGCAGTTAGATTTGATATCAGTGCTTTGGAAATTTTGTGTTACTCTCAGGTACTTAACTCTTTTGCATCAAGACCGGTCACTAATGACCCTTAATCATTTTTTAAATCAATAAATATGATATTTAAAAAGCAAAGTCGTTAATCAAAACCAGGGTTGATATATTTAAACCAAATAGTTTAAACCAATGCACAGTGGTGCGAAACCTCAAAAAATTGGCTATAATTCAAAAATTTTCAAAACATAAAATTAATTATTTTTTTTTATGAATTATACTGCTTATATTATCTAAAAATATATAGGTTAGTTATTTGTTTATTAACAGGATCGCTACACGGTTTTAAAAGATGTCATTTTTATAGTGATCTCAAGTTCCCCGGAAATTCAATTTCAGAAATATTGGGAATGAAAGAGCTCATTCCCAGGAATTACCGTTACCGGGAATGAGCTTTTCAATACTTTTTTTCTTTCTAAAACCTGAAAATTTTTAATCAAAAAATACAAAAAACAATACAAAGAACTCAAAATTTATGTTTAAATCTACTTTATTAATTTATTTCAGAAATAACATTTAAGAAAAGAAATAGCATCGGTGTTCTCATCACAAAGATGGTTGCGAACTTTGCTCACAAGAATATTTGCTTCCGAAAAACGATGTTCTGCAGCTACTGATGTTGCTTGTATTGTGTTCAGTCCCTCAAAAAGTCTATCCAGAGTTAGAGAGGGTACTTTTGTCTTCGCATACATCTGCATCTCCTTTTTGTAGTCAATAACTTTGCCCGCCTGCTTGTCGGTAACCTCTCTTGAAGCTTTCAAGGCAAGTATCAGTTGCTCAGCTAAACTTCTTTGAACCTGCTGTGATGTTGATGCTGATGATTCTTCTTGCTGTTCAAGTTGTTCCACAGAATCATCATTTTCAGTACTGAAGAGTCTTTCCATCAGCTTCACTGCAAGTTTGCTCATAGCTGCAACAGTCGATGTAGCAAAGTGATTTGGCCCAGTGATGCTGTTGATGTCGTGCAAGTAAAGGATGAGTGATTGAAGAACGTCATGTCTGCATTTGTTGATTTTCTCTTTGATAGCCAAGAAGATGTCCTGTGAGAGATCATGCATTTCTAAATTGTCCAAGAGAAACTTGATAGTTGTGTTGCAATTAATGAGATTTACTGATTTCTTTGACAAGAATTGAATTCTTGTCAAAGAAATCAGTAAATCCAGCTCCTTCAATCTCAGTAAATATCTCAGTAAATTCCAGCTCCTCCAATCTTTTTAAGTCGATATCTGCCCATAAATAGGTTTTGTCTATCTCCCTGTGGTTCAGAGCTTCCTTCACAGGTCCAAGTAACTTCAAGAACCTTTTGCAAGCATCATGAAGGCTGCCCCAACGAGTCTTTGAATCTAACTTCAGCTTAAGTTCTCTCCCATTGTTCATCCTCTTTTTGACCAATGATCGATGGAAGAGGCTCACGATTTTTCTCAATTTGGTGATCGTTGATTAATAAGCGAAAACCATTTGAAGTGAATCGACCTCCTCTTCATTGTCTGATTCTGTGTTCTTGCCGGCATCAGGTACATCTTCATCAGGTTCATCTTCATTTCCACACTCAACAAAAAAGACATCATCATGGTTGTCATCCATTGACGACCACGATCTGGTTGTCAATGAATGACGACCAGATCTGGAGCATCTGATGACTGTTTCTTTAGAAAAAGAACTTTAGTAACACCCAGATGAATTCCATGATCACTGCACTGGACGTATTCTGATGCGATCATAGAACCAAATAATACCATAGCGCTTGCATCATCACCAGAAGTGCCAACAATGTGTTTCTCTGGATCCAAGCCAAATTCCATCAATCTTGCTTTGAACTGTTAATAAAAAAATAAAAAATAAAATGATTAGAAACCTAAAAAAAGAAAAAGATTATAATATCAACTTACTAGTTTTTTGATGTTAAGAGCAGTTGCACTTCCATAAATTGGAACTATGCCCAAATTGATTTCTTTATCAACACCATTTTCAAAATAATGAAGATTAATGTTCAAGAAATGTCGCCCTGCAGTTGAAGTCCATTCATCAAGGGTTGTTGAAAAGAAATGTCCTTTAGCTAGATGAGTTTGAATCCACGATTTTATTTTAGCCTTGATGTCTTCATGAAAACCTCGAACAATCTTTGCAACACCAGATCCATTCTTTGGATCTGGTGTTTTTCGATGGAAACTTCCCTTTCACATGCTCTGCTATTATATCTGAGTTAACAATCTGTTCGAAGTTCAATCCATTTAAAGCAACTTCTTTAGAAATCGTTTCCTCAAACAATGCTCTAGTAAAATCTGTCACCAGCTTTTGCCTCTTTACTTGAGGATTGTCAGTGCTGCTTGTACTTGGTTGAGCTTGGTTGCTAGTTGTTGGTCCAGATTTCAATGGATCAAGTATCTGATGAACATGCTTTAGATGTTCTATCAAACCCTTCGTTGAACCTCCAGCACAATTGAGAACAGCACTATACTTTCGATTGCCCAAGTCTACGTCACAGCATGCTTTATCTTTGTTGCCTGTTTCCCTTTTGAAGTGCTTCCACACAAAAGACATGCTATTTAAAATTAAATGATAAGATATGAAGATAAAAGAAATAAAGAAAAAAGATAGGAAATAAAAAAAAGAAAAAGATTTAGAAAAAGAAATAACATAATATGTACTATATTTACCTTTGATAATTTGTCAAAAATAACTTTTTTACTTTCTTTTAAAAAAACTTGCACAATGCACTTTACACTTTAAAAAATATTGAATCACTAATTACTAATTAATTTTAAGCGTTTTTACAACGTTTTTATAAGGTTGCTTTCTTGTGTGTCTGTCCGTCTGGTTAGAATCTTTGAAGCGATATTTAACCCACTTCCCGACCAGCTAGAGCTCTGAAACTTTCAAGATAGCTCAGAACCCGATGGCAATTCAATTTAAAACCATTTCCAAGCTCCTTCAACCAATATTTCTCAAAATTTCAACAAAATTCAATTTTATATGGAGAAAAAAACAAACACAAGGTCAGCAGTAATAGTTAAAAAAATATACCAAACTTTAATTTAGCGTTAATAAAAGAAATCTTTAAGAAAAGTAATTAAAACAAACAACGTGAAGCTGACTTAAGTTTAGCGTAAATAAAAGAAATCATTAGGTAAAGTAATTTAAAATAATCTACAATAAAAAGAATAAATCTAAAAAGTATAAAATAATAAAAACAATAAAAATAAATTTTTCTACAAACAACGTTTTTCTAGTGTCCTAAAAAGTAGAAAATAATTTTTCTTTGAGCTTGTCAGAATGTCTGGTTATATTCCTCTTATCATGATGACAGATTTTATAACAAATTTGATTCACATATTGCAAAAAACGTTATGCGCATGTCATAAGATATAAGAGTTGTGATTGACCAACATTAATGGTTTTGTTAGTCGGACATCAGCGCAATATATCTACACTGTGCCCAACATTTTTCACAATACGTGTATCAAATTTGTTATAAAATCTGTCATCATGATAAGAGGAATATAACCAGACATTCTGACAAGCTCAAAGAAAAATTATTTTCTACTTTTAGGATGCTAGAAAAACGTTATTTGTAGAAAAATTTATTTTTATTGTTTTTATTATTATATTGCAATAATTGCACCACCAACTACAGGTAGGCTTTAGAGTAAAATTTATGAAGATTCATTTTGACACATAACATTGCGGGTATATTTAAAGATTAAAACTTTTTTAACACCTGTAAAGTGTATTTCCAGGTATAAAAAAAAGTTTTAAACTTTAATTATACCTGCAATTACAACTATAAGCTTTAAATATACCTTTAAAAAATGATAATCTACGTATTTGTATTTTAAAAAAATTCCCGGGAATTTCTCGAAAAAAACCCAGGAACGGGAACAGGAATTGACCAACAAGATTGCAGGAATTACCATTCCCGGAATTCCCTTGAGGATCACTACATTTTTGTAATAAACTTTTATTAAAAAAGTGCAGAAGTTATAATTCCAATTTTTTTTTTTGTTTAATTATTCATAAACTAAATTTTATAAAAAAAAACTTACAAAAATTACTATTAAAAAGTGCAAAAAAATGCAGCTTTATGTAATTTTGAATTTGCTTTTTGTTTAAAAGACTTCTCAAGCTAATCAAACTCAATCTTTATTAAGTTCTGGTTATGGTAATACCTCATAAAAAAAATTCAGCTGCATATATTCATGCATTATGATAAATTTTTAGCTCTAACACGCAACCTTTTTTTTGCTCTAATATTATCAATGTTTATAATTCGTATAATATATATAAATGAGAAAAGTTTAAAATTTTTTTTAAATACCAATAATTAAGTCATGTTGCTAGGTTAAAATAATGTTCTTATTTATATTGTGAATTTTTTGAAAAAAGGCACTTTTTCATGTATTTTATTTATACTGTACAATGGGTAAAAACATTATTTATTT